TATGAGGCTGACTGCGACGGCGTCAGTGATAGCTGGTCACCATAAAAAGCTCTGGTGCACGTTGATGATTTAACACAGCCTCAGAGTAAGGCTGCCGCTGTGCCTGTGCTTCATCTGTTGTCTTTAAATTGAAGCAGGTTCACAAATCCTTGCCTGCGTATCCCAGCCTGCCAGGATGCAGGTGAAGCCATAGTGCTCCCCTCCCTAATGCTCCCCAATTGCCCAGCTCTCTGGCACATTATCAGCGTCCAAATAGTTGTTAGGAGCTTCTCAGTTTTTAGAAAAATGTGGTTTTAAAGAGTTTCACCCCATGCTTTTCAGATGAGTCTCCTAGTAATTGGACACCTGGAAAGTGGAGGGACCTACGCAAAATTAAGCGTCGAAGTCTTACTAAGAAAAGTATCTAACTCCATTAGGCAATTTTGAAAGCATGAATTTAAACACGGACCTAGACATGGCTTCATCTTTAGAAATGTAAACCAGCCCTCAGCTTTCTGAAGCCCCTCTGAGCTGCAGGTGTTCCACATTCCTATTTAAAGAATGTAAATAGAACCTGATGGTGCCCAATGCCTTGCAGGATTAATGATAGAAAGGAATAAAACTTTTGCTCTGTGAAATTAACTAGAGAAGAAAAAAATCTGAATTTTTTATGTTGTCACAAAGTGAAACGTAATATGTGAAGATGTGCTCACAACTCAAGGGGTCCAGTTTCTTGTCCTAGTTATACTTGATGTAAGTGTGGATTCGTTGGAACAGAACCGTCGCAGACCTGCATTGATCTATCTGATACTGGGGTTTGTTTGGCTCAAGATATTAAAATACACTATTGCAAGTGTCTTGGTAGTAAGTCCTGTGGATCACGGTCGTGACAGTGACTCCATGTTAAAGCGTTGCTGTCCTTTCCTTCCTATCGGCACTGTCAAAATACCCTACACAGCTGCATCATGCAATGCAGTTTCATGCCTCTCTAGCCACCTCTATCTCCCGTCCCTCAAGACTGGCAGTTTATTTTTATACATCTAATTCACCCTGCTGAGGAAGACGTCGGCATGTTACGAATGCTGACTGTATATGTACGTGCATTTGATGAATTTTGTAAATACAGAAGTTGTGGAGAAGAATGTGCTTTTTAAGAACTCATAGCTGGTGGATTTTAGCTCACAAACTAAGGACTCGGTCCAGTTCCTAGTTCTGGCTTTTGGGCTTTTATATTTGATGGGCATACTTTCTACACGCTGCCTGAAAATTTAAGATACCTAAGTATATTTGGAAGGCTTTGGATCTTGCTTCTTTCAGTTTTGAGTACTATTGTGTGAGAAGTTGTATGACGCATTATTTTTCTTGGCCCTTTAAAAGTTGACTTTCTAAAAACATGGATAATGGTTCTAAAAGAGGCTATGCCTTGCCATGTGCATTAGAGGAACTTGCTGCTTGGAGCACTTGAGGCTGTCTTTTAAAGTTTGTTTTTTTTTTTTTTTAAACTGGATTCCGAAGGCTGGTCTGAGCCTTCATATTGCCTGTTTGGCCTGGGCTGCAGATCTCCAGCAGGCTTCAGTGTTTGAATTTCACCCTAGTCATGCATTAGATTTTAAGAGAACTGCTGGGTTCACAGTACTTTGCACGCAGGCAATAATTAGCCCGCCTTTTTTGTTTGTCTACCTATTTCTTTTTAATAAAAGCTCTGAAGGCACCGATTCTGCAGTCAGCGGATGCTGCTGTTTCACTGCCTCTGCGAAGCCCACCTGGAGGGCGCAGAGCTGGGGCGGCCCACTGAAGCCGTGGTCCCTGGGCAGGGCTGGCAGCGGTGCGGTGCCAGGGACACCACCTTCCTCTGGAGCTGGAGGAAGCAGTGCAAGGGTTGAAGCTGCCTTGAAGATGCTGCTTAGACCCTTTCTCTGAGCTGATTTCTGAAACGGAGAAGGTCTTACTACTGTTGTACCACTTTGGGTTTTTTTTTCTGTGAAGTGTGAGAGTGAAGTGGTGGTGGCTGTGGTGACACTCAGCGGCGTGGCCATGTGGCAGGGCAGCAACAAAAGGGGACTAATTTTGGATGGAGGGGACTCTGATCCCCCAGGCGGATCTGCGCCTCACTGTGGCCGCTGCAGTCAGATTATCTGTGTCGAAGTAGCACCTTTCTCCATAGTTCCGGGCTGCCTCGTTGTAGAGCGTGAAGCTGCAAGCGTGTTTTGAATAATACAGTTTTATCTGTGGCATGCTCTGGTGTAATTTAATGACCCTTCCTCAGTAAATAGCTGGTCTCTGAAGGCAGAGTAGAGAGCGAGTTCAAAAGGTGGTGTTGCTCATCGTTCCTGACTGTTACCTGGCATGACAGACAGTGGCTGGAACATTGCAGAGTTGCAGTGAAACTGCGACAGCACATTAATTCTTCCTAAGTACCATTTGCCTTGGAGTCATTGCCAGTGAGAAAGGCGAGCGCAGGATTGCCGGAGGATGACACCAGAGAGGGTTGAGCTGATAAACAAAAGAAAGAGAATAGCTGGCTGCCCTGGCGTTACCAGCTCAGAGGCTCGTTTGCATCTGCAACGCTCCCAGGGAGTGGGTTGCGTTGGGAATAGCAGCCGCAGTAATGAACACAGCTTTTCCGTGTCTCCCTAGGGAAGGTGGGCAAGGGTGACTGCCAGGGGAGGGGAGTGACCGCCAAGGGGACAATCTTGTGTGGACCAGCTGTGGCCAGGGGGGATGCAGAGTTTCCCTCTGCCCTCCAGGGAAGTGCCGCTGCCCTAATAAACCTCAGGGAAGGCTGATGGGCTGCAAGCACAGCTTGGGGCTGGAGCTGGATGCATTTCCAACCTGCTGAGAGGAACCTGCAAAACAGCATTAACCTGACTCAAAAGTTCAGTGGCTGCAGTCCCTGATAGAAAGATTTTGCTGTCTGTTCCCAGTAAGGCAAGAGGTACTGGCATTAGGGGCTCTGGCCCATGTGTGCTGGTGACGCAGAGCCTCCCTTATATCAGAAAGCACGGGGTGGATAACTCCTCATCCCATCACTGCTCACAGCACCAGGGGCATCTTGCCCTTGTTTGAGGGCTGCCTGTGTGTCTCTGGGTGGCAAAGAGAGACACGTATGCGGCCCCAAGATGGGGGAGCAGAGCTGATGGCGAGGTGAGGCGGGGCGGTCTCCTGCAGACCCGCTTTGAGATGCCAGTCCCTGAAGCGCAGCAGGGATGGAGGCACACAAAGGGCAGGTTGTTCCCCCATGCTGGGTCAGGGAGCCCATCAGCACAAGTCTGGGATGTGATCTGTCACCTTCCAGGTTTTCCACACCAATTTTGCAACTCTCCTGCTGCTATTACGCACCCGGGGCGGTTAGACCCTTGGCCAAGAGCGCGCTGCTGACAGCGCTCAACGTGGCGTGCGCGATAACCAACAATTTTAGTGGAATTTCAGCTGTCGCGGAGTAGTGAGATGTCCCTGTTTAGCCTTCACCTGGCCTCTGCCAGTTGGGCTGGAGGATAAGTGGTCCCAGAAACCAGAGCAGGTCAACAGATCCATCTTGTTCCAAAATCCTAGTTAACTGGAACCAGTTGGAAACTTGCTGTAATGGAAAATTGGGTTGTGTATAATTTTTTTAACAGAATGCAGTTGATCATGTTCTTTGCTTTAGTCTGCCTCCACTTTTGTTTTTTTGTCCTGTGTTTTTTGTGTCTTCCAACTTTTCAGGGAGGGAATTAGCCTCACTTACGTAAAAGCACATCTCTTGAGCAGCACTGCAGTCTCTGAAGGCTGAAACAACGTTGTTTGAAGACTTGTTTTTTTTTCTCTGAAGGTTCACATAAGAAGAGTGTCCGCGAGACAAACTCAGTCCGTGTACATCCCCCTCCCAAGATAGCTTGTCTTGTGCTGTTCAACTAGTGGCGTTTTCAAGGATGCTGGCCTGCAGCTTCTTCCCCAGCGTCGCACGCCTGTGGGCTGGGTTGTTCAGGAGAGCTGAGCTTTTGTGTGCTTTGCCATGTCCCTCCGCTCCAGCTGGGTATGTTACTAAGTGAGCATATTTGTGCAGCACCTCATATCATTCTTTTTTGTTTGTTTGTTTTTTCCAGAACACTATAATTATGCATCTTCAAATGTAAATGCTGGCTTGCCTCTAAATGTGGCACATTCCTCATTGTCAACTCCATGTCATGGCCTTCAGACATCAAATCCCGTCATTTCAGTTGTCCCATCGACAAATCATCCTTCTGGATATGGAGGACACATAGACAGCGGGGCCTCTGAGTATTACCTGCCGCCAAACGTCAGACCTAATGGAGCTCCAGCGCTGGAGAGCCCGAGAATTGAGATCACTTCTTACATGGGACTTCATCATAACAACAACCAGTTTTTCCATGATGAGGTTGAGGAGGCCATCCCAAACGCCAAGCGGTCACCTTCCACTGCCACTTTGAACTTACCGAACATCGAGGCGTACAGAGACCCGTCCTGCCTGAGTCCAGCAAGTAGCTTGTCTTCCAGAAGCTGCAATTCTGAAGCATCTTCCTATGAGTCCAACTACTCATATCCGTACACTTCACCCCAGACCTCTCCATGGCAGTCCCCGTGTGTCTCTCCGAAGACCACCGACACAGAGGAGGGCTACCAGCGCAGCATGGTGGCCTGCACTTTGCTCAATTCCCCAAGGCACTCTCCATCAACGTCTCCCAGGACGAGCATCACGGAGGAGAACTGGCTTGGGGCTCGCAACTCCAGGCCTCCATCACCCTGCAACAAGAGAAAGTACAGCCTCAACGGCCGGCAGACCTCCTACTCCCCCCACCACTCCCCCACGCCTTCTCCACAAAACTCGCCGCGGGTGAGCGTCACGGATGAGACGTGGGCGG